TGTGGCTAATTTTTGCACCATATTTAATACCGTGAAAAATTAGAATCCTATATAAAAAAAAGAGAACTGCATTATTTTATTTCTTATTTTACTTTTTTTGCGATACCACAAAACGTTGATTTTAACTACTGTATCTAAAATATATAAGTGGTATAAGTTGGAAGATAAAGGTGAGTATATTTTATTTTTTATAAGATATTGTACCTTACATTAAACATTAATTTAGATGAAATGCCAAATTCTTGAACTTTTAAATATTTTGTGATTATTTGCATTTATGATTCTAAAAGTTTTCTACCCCCATCTGCCCCCAACTGTGACTATATAGTTTCTAAAAATAACAGTTTTGTGCACCAATTATAAAAAACACTTGTAGATTAAATTGGCACCATATGGGAAACTTTTTTATTGTTAGTTTTATGGAAAAAAGTTATTCTTTATAAAAATATCTGAATGTTTTCAATCTGCCGCCAACTGTCTACCTAAGTTAGAGGCATACGGAACACTATTTATTATTAATTTTAGGAAAATAAGTTATTCTTCATAAAAAGTTCTTCATGACCTTAAAAATTCAGAAATTTTAACTAAATAATTTTGTCCATCTCGCTTGTATTGTTCGAAACACTGTGCGTAGTATAATTTTATATAAATAAAAAAAATCCTTGGTTATTTCGGTCAAATAGTTTTTATTTATTATAATTTAAGCAACCAGGGTACTGAACGTCTTCCAGGAAATTCATAGTTGATTGCTTATTGATTGAAAAGTGTATTGATAAACAAAGGTAATTTGAGAGACAGACAGACATACATTGGCGATTTGTTCTTGTTTCGTCAACTCGTGATTCGTCACCTGACCCAAAATTTCTTGTTTCGTCACCTGTACCTTTTTGACCTTTTCGCAGGTAATAATTTATTCCGCATTCATCAATTGGGACTAGTAGGGTCATAAAAGTCCATAAACCTAAATTCTTTTTAAAGTTTATATTATTTATAATATTTATTGTAATAATAATGTTATTATAAAAAATAAATAAAAAAAACATAATTTCAATTTTTGTTTTAAACATGTCTTTATGGTCACCAATACAAGGTATTTTTTTAATAAACCGTTTGGCCATCTCCCTTCAGACTTTAGGACTGGCAAAGCAAAAAGTTAAAAATTTTAATATACATATTAAAAAATAAAAACGTTTTACTTTGGCGTGTTTAAAAATTAATATTTCCCTTTCGGATTTGTCATTTATTTACAGGTAATTATTTACAGAGTTTAAGTTACTGTCCTGGCTTCGTCAAATATACTATTCTCCTATTATTTGTATATAACGATGTACGTTAGTTTTATCAAAGCATCTACCAAACTTAAACGATTTTCAAGAAATGATTTAGGAATATTCTTAATTCTCGCTTCCAAATCACAATATTTCTTTGCCTTTTTAGGAGTTGACATGAGTTTATCTTCTTTTTCCACGAAGATCCTATAATGATTTAAGTCATCTTCAAGAATTTTCATTATTTCATATGTATTAGAATGACTTTTGCCGACGTTTCTGTTTAATTTATTGTGCCAACCTTCAACTGCATTTGTTGTACGACGTCTGTTATAACATATTCAGTGTCTGTCGACGTTTAACCAGACTTCAACAAAATAGTTATTAAATTTCATAACTTTTCGTTTTCTGGCGAGGAAGCCATAATCTAAAGCCATCCTTCATCTGTCCACTCCGGAGGCAAATGTGCTAAAGCGGCACACATTCTTATATGCTTTCGAACAATTTCATCTTTTCTATATTCAATGGAAAATCCCAGTTCTCAAGCTTTTTGCCAAATGGCTTGGTTAAAATGAAAGTTGCATCCTTTAATTTTCACATCTGGGAAAACTTTCTGCATTCCATTTATCGCAGCCTTCTCAAAATCGACATGGAACTCCACTGGACTGAATTTAAGTATTTTTTCTTTTAATATGGTAAAAAACTCCGTGTAAGTCACTTCTTTTCTATTTGGTGATAAAGCACAAATAACTAACCAAACGCAAGTTTTTCCTTCTGTACTACCAAAGTCCATATGAATGGTGTATAATTGTTCAAATAAGGAAGGACAGTTCTTAAATGTTCCGTTCCAAAAAAGATTCTACCATGCTCTTGTTTACGTCTACATTCAGCAGTAAATATAAGTATCCTGTCGTCCGATTTATTGTCAAATAAAAGAAAATGTTTATACCTATTTATCTGAAATGACATCTTTGCGGTATTTAGACATACTCTTAATGCCAAGAGAAGTATGTCTAGCATAATACAACTGCTGCATCACTGAAGGAAAACTGGGAATTTGGGTTACAAAGTCAAGACCGTTATCTACAGCTTTATTCATAACTTCTTGCTGATATATTTGGGTTACTGGTAAAATTTGTTCACGGGACCTTTTCTTTGCATTAAACAATACATTTTCGGTTTACACAAGTCCAAAAGATGTCACTATTTTGATAAATCTTCCTAAGTAGAGCACCACTGGCTTTTCTCTTTTTGATTGAACAATTTGTATTTCCATGTTTACCGTAATGTTGCTTGGTACAAACTAAACTTTAAATATAGTAAAATCTCTGTTAGCGATCGAATCTCTAATCTAATCTAATTAACTTTATTTACATTTTCATTTACGTATGTACTTAAAATCATATTAGTATGGAATAATGATTTCATGATGTTAAAATCTTTTAATTGAGCACTTAGTGGCTTAAGTTTAGGTACCCCAGATATCTAAAATTTCGAATACTGTATCAGGTAAACAGGATTAATGCAAACTCTTAAAATTTCTAGACTTTAGGTATTTGGAATCGAATAGTTTAAACCGAATTTATTTATTTTTGAAATAAAAATAAAAAATGCATAATAGAATCCTCTTAGTCACTAGCGCAGGGGCAAAGATGAGGTGACGAAACAAGAACACTTTAAGCAGGTATATTTTGCAGTTGACGAAACAAGAATAAAATGGGTCATAACAGGTAAAATTTCCCTAGGTAATCGAATTAAATGACGGGTTTTGAGCTTACATTAAATTGTAATTAGATGAAACAAAATGTATTCTATGTATTTTAAGGTGATCTTTTTGAAAAAAGGCAAAACAAAATGTAGCTGTTTTTCTAAAGTGCCAAAATTTTGGATTTTGTCAATTTTTCAATTTTGCGCAGGCGCATGTCAGAAATAAATCAATATTTTCAAAACGCAGTTTAAGACATTTGAAAGCTTAGGAAAAATGCTAATTTTCATGTCTCTTGAGAAATTTTCATCCGATGCAGTATTTTGCGGCGGCGAAGTTCGAAAAATTGAATTTGTTAAATGTTCAAACACTAAATTCTTCATAACTTTGGTAAAAATTAAGATATTTAAAAAACAAAAATGCGATTTGAACTTAAGTGATGTGACTATTGATTCCCAGAAGGGGGCAAGAGAAATCCCAAACTTGGGCATATGGCGGAAGGGCAAAGTGTACCGCGGGCCTAATTTCATTGTTTGTCTATAATTTTTGAATAATTTATTGTGTCTAGAATACGATTACATTACGGAAAATTCTGCAAAAATATTTTATCTATTTTTTTGACCACTGTTCATTGAGTGACGACAAAAAAAACACGGTTTTTTAGAAAAGTTGTCTAAAATTGACGATTTTTAGTTTTTTGGTCTAAAAAATTGGGCAAACCCAAATCTCATGTCTTCTGAATATGCATACAAAGTTTAAAGTATGTATGTTTCTTCTAAGTTGTAGAATTCTCCCGACAAAAGTCCCATTACACGCGCTCCGCGGGATCCAAAACTCGTGTATACACTGCATTTCTGTAATTTGATTTTTTTGCGATTTCCAGTTTTAAATTTCTGACATACCTAAATTTATTAGGCTTAAAATTTATTAAATTGTATTTTACTGACTTGTTATAAGACGTTTCTTGAGTTTTGTCCAAAATATAGAATTACCGCAAAATTAGCCGCACGTCGCATCAAGGATAGCCATGGTCTCGGCGTTCGCCATCCGACAAGTTTAAACTTCAAACGCTCATATTATTACAAGTTGATTCGCTTGATAGTGTTCATTGGCATAGATTTTTAATAACCATGTTCAGCAAGCTCTGTGTATTCGTGGTTTTTCGGACTTCTTTAGCAATTTATTGAGTAAGTACGTTCCTAAATTAAGAAAATTCTATCACAGTGCTATAATTTTTTTGTTTCCAGGTTGCAATGGCTGGCCTGTATTTATTATGTCATCAGACACTTGCAGAGGGTTAACTTACTCCAATTAGACCGACAGGAGTGAAAGGTCAGCAAAGAGAGGGGGGATGATTTTTTCAGTTCTTTAGAACCAGGTTTTATATTGCATGAGAGGTGTTGCAAACATTACGTAGCTCGACGTTACAGACAAGAGTTTATTTATAAAACCTGAGATAGGCATAAAAGGGCCGCGATTGACAATGCCAAAAAAAGGAGGATGGAGCATCAACCGAGAAGAAAACAAGAAGGAGCGACTCTTTTGATTTTGAGACTTTATGTTTCTTTTGCACGCAGTATATCGCGGGTATTGGACAAACTAAACCGCGAAAAAACTTTTCCAAAATGACAACACAAGTTGGGAGGGAGTCACTGTCAAAAACTTTAATTGAGTGTGCCGAGAAGGGGTACCTGGTTTACCAAGAACCTGCCAACTGCTTGTTAGATGCTCGTTTGGATCAAGAAATTCCGAAATATCATCACAAATGTTTCCATTAATGCAACTGGTACAGGACAGGTGTGTTTTCTTAAAAACCAAAGGGTCGTTTGAATAACTCAGCAATCACATCAGAAATGGAGAAAATTTACAAGCATATTAAAGAGTCCAATGATGTCGTCTATAAAGTGTCAGAACTAACTGACATGTTAGGTATGTACATGGTTTTTGTTATAGTCCTAACCCATAACGGGAAATTGCGCATAACAAGCAATTTGAACATATAATTAATTTATCTGTTCTTATTGCAGATGGCAGTATGGATAATAGAACAGTCTTCAAACAACTGCAGAGCTATTGTTATTATTACCCATAACGGCCACGGAACTTTCCTATTTTTTGAAGAGCACGAGTATGACATATTGAAACAAGAGTGGACCGCCAACAATCTCGATCCAGTCCAAGAAGCTATGAAAAATGTCCAATCTGTAGCAACGGTTATACGTCATCAAATTTGTGAAAATAAATATGAAACAGGGTATTATCCCCCAGGTGAGGTTATGTTTAGCGAAGAAAAAATGGTTGAAGAGATTCCAGAGTTATTGTTTCTTCTAATTCAGTCCATAATAAGTATAAACAAAACAGGAAAACCTGATGCATTATTAAGAAATTGTATAGTAATATGTCATCTCATAATTGCAGCAACTCGTCCTCGATCATTCATGTCTTCTGTACTAGTGGGTTTGGGAGTAATGATATATCAAAAATTTGCTTCTAAGAACCTGTTAGATGTTTTATCCAATCTGGGCATAACTGCATCTTATAATGAAGCTAGATTATATATACAATCTCACATCGTTTGTAACGCTAAAAAATTTTTACATAACGTTTGGATTCATTTTGGGTTTGATAATGCCGACTTTCCGGTCCAATCGTTGAATGGATCAAAAAGTTGGCATGTCGCAGATGGGGCACTGTTCGCCGTCCTTGTTGATTGTTACGAACCCCAAGAGGGCGCGAAAAAATTAAAAAAAGTCCTGAATGTAGAAGAAATTGTTGCTTTCGGTAAAATTCCCACTTGTAATTACGTCAATAAGATTCCAGATGGGTAGAGGAAGGTCGGAGTGAAGAGTCTCAATGTTCTAAAGTTCGAGCCGAAAAACTTATCCCCTGCAGATTTGGTTTATTTTTTCAGCAAACTCAGCAATAGCAAATTTTTTGACTGGAATGGTTTTTGGCAAAAGCTAACTGAAAAAGTGACTATTGAACGAGCTCGTTTAGTATGCCTGCCCTTTTACAATGCGCCCTCAGTCATCCTAATTCAGTTATGTCTGTCCTCAAATTTGCCACAAGAATTGCTAAAGAAATAGGGATAAAAACGGTATTCGTGACTTTTGATCAATCTTTGTATAAAAAAGCTGTAGAAATCATGAAAACAAACAAATTCATCGCAAATTTCATGTCCATAGTTTTGATCAAAGAAACGAAAAAACAACTTTTTGGTAAAAGCACTTCTGGCGGCGAGAAATTCGCCATTAAAACTACCTGTGTAATGAATTTCCAAACTATTTTTGCCTCCTTTTTCGATTGGTGCATTTATTTTTACTATCGGAATGATACTTGCCCAGATAATTTGCATTTTTACCATGGAAAATTCCAAAACACCCGTTTTTTTTCTAATTAAAAAAAAAAAATTGTACAACAGCTACATCTTTTTTTGCTTTTTTTCGGAAAAATCACATCAAAATACATAAGGTCCACTTTGTTTCATCCAATTACAAATTAATGTAAGCTCGAAGGGGCTTTTTTTCGTTATTTAATTGGACTATAGGTGACAAAACACGAATTGACGAAACACATTGGCACTTTAATATAGTGGGCCGTAATTTGTAATCTTTGACATCTAGGTGATTTCGTTCATTTAAATTTTCGACCAAATTTTATATCTCGGGAACCACATAAGTAGGTACCATGATTTTGCTGTCATTTTGCTTCTCTAAGTGTCCCTAGCTTATATCTGAGTCCGATAAGGTTTTGGCTTTTTTTATCCCGAGATCGCGATACGGACAGACAGACATAGGCATTTTAATATACATACGAGTAGTAGGATTATAAAAAATAAAAACTATTTGACCGAAAAAACAAAGGAACTTTTTATTAGTTGTTTGAAAAGACGGCAAATATTAATAAATATTTAAATAAAGGGTATTCAAAATGTTTTCATTGGTGATTAAGTATAATATTAAAAAAAAGCCTAAACAAAATATTACGAATCACTTGTTTTTAGCAAAATTTTTCCATTAGTAACGTTCTGTTGAAAACGGTTTGAATTTGAACCATTAATATAAATATAACTCTTTTCAGTACCAGATACAACTTATTAATCATAAAGCCAAACGAAGAGATATATAACCTGAAAACGAAAACGTTTGAATAAATATCTTTTATCGAGGATATAAAACTGAAACATCACCGCAACAGCAGCAGTCGAGTCGTAGGTATAATTTTTCAAAAGAGTAAACGGCCGCGTTTGTTGGGGCGTTCGTGTGAGGAAAGCCCGAAGATGACGGTGCAAAATCGGACCCTCTCTGGAGTATAATGAATTGATCCGCATGCTGCCCTCTTGCCGGTGACCAGCTCTTTCCGAGCTCACACACGTCTCTCGGCGAACTCTCACCTCTCCAATCTGCGATCTCGGCTTATCCCCAACATCCTCCTGATTTTCGAACGATAAATTTTCTTTTGATGGTCTTCCTATAGAAAATGTAACTATTTTTACAGTTTAAGAATACGGGGTTTACGAAATAAATGGAGAAGAATTTAAATTTTTTATTAACTCCCTTATAAACGAGACAGAATACGCTTCAGAGCGACTAATAGATTGAGATTACTTTTTTCTAAAAGTTTCTTTTACTTTTGTCTGTATATACCAGGTCTTCAAGAATACCCGAAACCCACGTGATCTGATAACCATCAAAAACCCATCGAAAGGGCCTGATTTGACATAAAAGGAACTAAACTGAACTGTCAATCGTGTCAGAAATGTCACTGGCGTTCATTTGGGAACTGACAATATTTATATTATATTTATTTACATTTTATAAATATGCTCAGTCCATTTTTCATTTAATACTAATAAAGCAATTAGTTATTTTTAGAAATTATTGATGGTTTAATTCTTTTTTGTTAGTAGGTACAAATTTATTTACTGTAACTCGTAAAAGTTAATGACTGTATATAATTTATTTCAGGTAATGTTATACTGGAACAAAATTATTTTATATTCGAAAATTTGAGGAACGTTTTCCAGGTGAATAAATGGAATGTGATTATTTTTTGTCGTCATAAACAAATATTTGTTCAAAATTATAAAAAAGGAAGAAGCTCTAAAAGGCCCACAGTAATAACAGAAGCTATTGAAGATGTGCAAAATAACATGGTGCAAATTCCCAATAAATTAGTAAAAAAAGCAGCACCTCAATCAGGTATGAACGGTGTTTCAAAGACTGACTCTGACGAGTGAAATTCAAAACATATTTTTTTTAGGTTTGTCGCTACGAACTAGCCAGTATTAAAAACATTTTTGATAATGCATCTTCTATAAAGTTTCCATACTGCAACAATCATTTTACCTTAATTTTGTTATACCTACCTATGGAATATTACAGATCACTCAATTCAAAATCGTTTGTGATGTTTATGAACTGGAGCACCTAGCTGTATCTGTATCTGTAACGTGTGGAGGGTGGGTTACCCCCAAGGCACTTAGGCCTCATTAGGCCCATTGTGCATCCTCCTAAGATGATAGGCACCTCCTAGCTCGTCAGCCAGCCTACAGATTTAATGTAGTTGACAACGTCGCCAAGAGGTGCTTCTCTTATATCGGCCGGTGTTAGCCGATACTCGCCGAACACAAATCTTATAATAAATGAGAGCGTCGGGCAATCGTAAAGGATATGCTCGATGGTCTCATCTTCTTGTTCGCACCCTCTGAAGAGTGCGGATTCTGACAGCCCCATGATATGGAGATGCTTCCGTACTTGGCAATGACCAGTCAGAATGCCTGTAACCAGACGCAGATTCTGTCTAGTCATAGTCAAGTATTTGTTTGCTGCAGCGTTGTCAGGATAACTTAAGAGCTCCCTGGCAACTCTGCAGTTTCTTGTTTAATCCCATCTTTCCTTGAATTTCACAAGGGAATGTTCTTTAATTAGGTATGTCACTACCGATTTTGTCAGGCCAATAGAAGGGCCAGGTCCAAAAAGTATCTGGAGCACCTATATTGAATGATAAACAAAATATAACTGAGGAGAAACTGCACAATGTGTTCAAACAAGAACGATTAATGCTTGCACTAAAACTGGTGGTAAAGATTTTGAACATATAGGTATTGTGAATTAGTATCGTTTGTGCACTACCGATTACTACTTAATATCTTTTTAAATAAAATAGTTGTTAATAGGTATACCTTTATAATTTAAAATGAGAAGTGAGAGCTGTAAGGTAAAACAAATATGTGCTTGTTACATTAATAATATTAATATTTTTTTTTATATACATATAAGTAACAAAATGTATTTTGTAAATGGTTTAAACCCTGTAACAAATAAATAATAGAACAAACTTAAAAACTTATTTGTTTATTACTTCCCATTGCCCAGGTACCATTCCAGTAAGTTTTAAATTTGTTTACTTAAACTACAATAATTGCCAAATACTGCCATCGTCTTCTGCTTATCGTATTTAAAGTTTAAGCTGTAGCTAAATATCTTAAGAGTCAATCTAAAGTAAATAATTTTTAATTTTATTCATATTTTAAGGCATAACATTTTTTGTCCATAACTTTCTTGCTCCCTGTTCTGGTAAAGGTTTTTTTTTTATAATAGTGGCAATTACTTGTACGAACTAATTTCAGTTAATTATTTTTTTTATTAAATACAAACTAGATATAAATAGCTCAGTTTTTAAGGTTATGTTAGTTATATCATAATTTTAAAAATTAGATTATTTCATTTGACTAAATATAATTAAAATATCGAACTCTAACATTAAAATACCATAATGTAAAGCACCTCTAATTAATATTATGAATTCAGAATTCAGAATCGTTACATATCTAAGACACGAACCTCCTTTCGTAAAGTATTTTGCTCAAAACTATTTTCTCTAAGTTCGCTAGCTGGGAGAACATCAGGTCAAAGCGCTGAATGATAGAAACACATAAATAAGTAAATAAATTAATATTTTTTTATAAGACAATACTATTGTATGTGATTAGTTAAAATATGGGTAGGATTTGTACATCAGAATCCGCACTCTGCAGAGGGTGCGAATAAGAAGATGAGACCATCGAGCATATCCTTTACGATTGCTCGACGCTCTCATTTATTAAAAGATTTGTATTCGGCTAGTATCGGCTAACACCAGCCGATATAAGAGAAGTACTTCTTGGCGACGTTGTCAACTAAATTAAATCTGTAGGCTGGCTCACGAGCTAGGAGGTGCCTATCATCTTAAGAAGATGCACAATGAGCCTAGTGATGCCCTGGTGCCGTGGAGGTAACCCGCCATCCACACGTTACAGATACAGATAGACCTAGAGCTACACCTTAAACATTCCCTACATAGGCGTCGTCGAACCAGTATTTGTTATACATTATTTCAATAAATGGCATTATTAAAGAAAAATATTTTGTTCTATATGCGCTATTTTGTCCTTGTGTCATTTTGTTCTGTACTTTATTGTCCCGCGGTATTTTGTCTATGTGCTATTTTGTCCTTGCGGTATTTTGTTCTGCGATATTTTGTCCTGCGCTGTTTTGTCATCATGACCCGACATTTACTAAGAATCCTAAAAGAAAATGAATTTATAAATTTATTTAGCCAATATAAATTGTCAGGAAAATTCAGAAGAATTATTTACCTAAATAGGCCTCAAAGATATTTTGTGAAATGGCTGGTGGAGACGCCATGGATAGAAAATACGATTTCACCGGTTGAAATTTCTTTAAAAGCCTTTCCGCTGCCGGTTTCAGACTAATCCACCTGGTTGGTACAGATTTTGATAGTTCACTTCACTCAGAATCGCAAAATTCAAAAAATTATTTGAGCTCCTCGGTTTTTTTCGTGCTGCTTGAAAACTCATTATAACATTTAATGATAATCAGTTCGGAATCGTACCTAAAAAGTTTTTTAGTTCGATTCTTATTGGATTTATTTTAAAACTTACAAAATGTCAAATTTAAAATTAATTTACTTGACAAAATAACACATCTAACCTTAATGCTCTTTTTCCATTTTTAGCAGCATTATGGATAATATGACATACACAACCAATTGGTATTTTGCTGTCGTTTAACTTTTGAGTTTCCGTAAAAACACTTTGGTTTTTGCCAAAATTCACTGTTGCATTATCGGCATAATGAATCGTAACGTCTGCAATTGGTAACTCAGATTTCTTTAAATTTGTATTTATGCTAGATGAAATATCCTTAGATTTTTCTGACGGGGACGAGTAGTAATTTAAAAGCATTGTCTTAGTTCCATTCTGTTTTTTAAAGTACCTTAGTATCAATGGAAATGTTTTAATATTTCCTTTATTGGATACATCATTTGTTACAGAGAATGGGTGATGAGTCTTCTATTATTTTTCTATGGGTGTAGTGAGCTAACACATTGGTGACAATTTTTGTTCCTTTTGTTCTACCCAGTGTCATTCCTTGTGCTGTCTGCGAATCAAGAAAAAGATTTAAGAGTATTTTTACCAAGCAGTCTACTGATAAGTAGCTGTGCGAATTTTGCACTGAATGGTTAATCAATCCGCATTCTGCAACTTGTAATTTATTCTTATTTTGCTGCTGGCTGGAAAAATTGTTTTCAGTGTTTGTGTGTTTGCGGCTTTTTCAATATTTTTAAGATGCTTGGTGGTTTTATTATGCCTAAAAATGTGACCTTTGTCGCTATGGCCAATTGAAAACAGGCAATCACACAATGTGCATTTAGCCATATGTTGCGAATTACCTTTTATAACAGAGTATTTTGATTCTCACAATTTGTTATACGAAATCTAAAAAAATACAGCATACAAAACAAACTCAATTATGGGTAAAGGTAGGTAGGTACCCACTTAAAAAATATTTAAACGAGTAAGTTGTTTTATGTAAAGTACGATAAAACTTAGAAAAAGCCACGGGCGTCATCAACTAATCATCGTCTACCTCACTTTAAAATATTCCTTCTCCGTTGCTCCAGATCGATATACCAGTGGCGTAGGCTCTTATTTAAATAAGAATTAAAGCAGTTTCTTAACAAAAAACATTTATTGGATTAAAAAGTTAAATTTTAATGATTTAAACATTTGTATATTACCTAAATAACTAAACTAAAATAACATTACATATATTTTTCGACTTTTGACTTGCAAAACATTCAGTGGGAAGTAAATAAAAATAGCAACACAATTATGTGATTTAAGATTTTTATTACAATTAAAATAATAGTTATTTATGCAACTAGTGCAAAAAGTGAAACTAGAGGAGTACATCCTAGTTCGTCCGTTAATGAACTATTATACTCTGTTTTTAAACTAAGAGGAGCGATTTGAATTTAAGTTGGCAATTCTGTAGCCTTTTGATTGGTCAGATTACAGTCAGTTTCACACATTACTTTTTAGCATGAACATCAGCTAATAATTGATATTGTTGACAGTTCTGACATTTTATAATTTGATATCTCGCCCATTACTTAGTTTTTTACTTTATTTCGTAAATAATAGTTCTTCAGTAAGCAATTGTATTGAAAATCTACAATTATGGATCCTTCTACACTGAGTACTATTAAAGGTAGCAATTCCTGAAAAGCCTTACAAGAAAAGGAAGACATTATTTTACATGCTGATTCTGAAGGTTTTGTAGAAAATGCATTATTGGTTTTTGAAGGTAAAAAGATGGGAGATTACCGTGAAGAGATGAATTCCGAAGTATTTTAGAAAAAAATAATTTTATTACTGATTTTTTAAAACTAAAAATTGATGATTTTCTAACCAAAATGATTAAAATGTAACTAAATATTCAAGCAAATTTTATTTATTAGAATAGAATAAAACTATTTACAAAATTGTTATAACATTTAAAACAACATCTACTACTTTAGGGATAATCTTAATTTGGCACAATGAGTTAACATTCTTTTCACAAAAAATATTTTAAAAATACTTAAAATTAATACATAGTTCACTTTAAAAAATATATGTTGACATGTAGTGTTATGTCATAGGCCTGTTAACTTTTGAATGCCTTTATTTGCCCTCTAGCGCATTAACCATGGGTTAACACTAAATAAGCCATAATATCCACATTAATCATAGAAGAGATACCAGTTACTGTGTGATCCACTTGTCATTCACTGATTAACTTTTACTTTTTATACCTATAACAAATATATCCTTAAATATGTAAACAATTCTTTATATTTTATACTAACCTGGCTACGTCTGGATATTCCATTATCAATTTTCTTAAATATTTATTATTTATTTTAAAAAGATCATAGTTATTCTCAAAAAGTCGATTTCAAAAGCAAGAAAAAAGTATTTCTGACATCAATCAACAACCATATTGACTTTAATTTGACAGTGACATTTCGTTTTAGACACATATTTCAGGTCACAATAAAGTGAAATTTGCGATCGTTGTCTGGAACCAATTAAAAAATTACTTCTATGACATTTATTCGTTTCTTAACCGCTCATTGACCGTTCACCGACTAAGGCCGATAAAGATAATTATTTCATAAATTTTGAACACGACTATATTTCGAAACTCGCTCTTAGTAACAAATCTAGTTACTTTTCCCTGTGTAAATGCGTATTTTCAATTCGCTCCTCCTAGTTTAAAAACAGAGTATAGTACTCTAGCTGTCTTCACTTTCTTCCGATGAACCCGTATTTTTGTTCGTAAGTAAAAGCTTGGCAACGCCGAAGTTTGGCTCACAATTAGGCATTCTAACGACCTGTCCAAATGGCTACCAGTGGGTAATGACAGTTTAGATATGGCAACCTGTTGTCATGTTGTCATTAACAGGGTCATAGTTATATAGATTGCTCAAAGCTGGTCGTTTACGAGCGGCCATATTGCCTGGCAAATACTTATTAATTTGAATTGGTTTAGCAAAAATATGTTTTAAAACCAATTTTTAGCCTTTAGATATTTAAAAAAAAATAATTGCTTACATTTTTACTTCAAGGCATACGCCTATGTTTATTTTGAAAAATATGGATAATCAATCTATGTAACTATCTATTTCATTGACCTTGTCAAATCACCAGGCCTACAGGGTTGCCATAATTTTGCCATATCATAACCCGTCAAAACCCACTGATAGCCATTCAGTTTGGAATGCCTAATAATAAGGGATCCATGTTTACGCGATAGCTTCTGTTCGAATTATATTTTGGACCATGCGGCAGTCGTACAGCGTTGCCAAATTATTAAGCAATTGTATCTCTATATTAGAAAAACGAAAAAATCGCCAAAACGCCACTGACGCTTAAATGGGATGGACCTGAGAGACAGACAAATTATTGCGGCCTTTGTCAGGTATGATGTGTGTGGCTTTTTCTTAGTTGAATCGCACTCTAGTTTAGGTAAATATACAGGGTGGCGCATCGAAAACGAAACAGAGACATTTTCTGGCAGCTTAGTTATTTATTGGAAAAATGCTCAGACCCGTCGATTTTTTTTGAGGGGAACAACTTTTGATCGTTAACTCATAGTTATACGTTCATCCCCCTATAAGAGGTGGCAACCCATTCGAGAATCGTTAATGGCATGGGGGGTTGAGTAGTACATTATTTGCTAACATTTTTGTGTTAAGTGTTCAAATTAGTTATTTCAAAATTATGTTTTCTATTGAAAATCGTCAATTTAACAATTTAAAATAGTAAGACTACATAAGACAGACCTTTATCTCTAGTTGGTATAAAATTTGTGTTCACATTAATGCCAGAAACCATTTTAAAATGTCCGTTAAGGATGGGGTCTCCCTGCTGTAGACCAAAAGTTAAATCGACCGATTTTCGAAAGTAGAGCATTAATAAAAAATTTAATTTTCATCCTAACTAGAAATAAAGGTCTAAGTTATGTAGTCTTACTATTTTAAATGGGTACAATGGTAAAATACAGAAATTTCCGAAGTAATTCACCGAACAAAATGACCTCGACCACGAAACAACATCAAATATTTGACCTACAATGCTTGAGAGGCCGGAAAAGTGTGGCAAATAATACGGCCGGAAAAGTGTTGCATTTTCTCCGGCTTCTGTAAGAGAGTGGAAAAGACGGGAAAACCAGGACAATTTACGTGAAAACCGGGACTTGGAATTATTAAAAAAAAGACGGGACAGATTAGCAAAAAGCGGGACTGTCCCTCTTGTGGCGGGACGTCTGGTAACAATGTCATGGAGCCCATAAAAATAGTTTAGAGCTATCATGTCTACCCGCTCCGCAAGGCGTATTTCTTATATTCGTTAAAAATTTATTTAAAATTTATATTTAAAGAAAATTACACACTAGTTGTTAATTTAAAAACACAAGTAGGTAGGAGGATTTTTGTAGATAAATAGTGTATAGTTTTGCACAACAATACTTTTATGTAAAAAAAAGCCTACAGAATCACTACAATAGTTCTCACTTGCTTCTAATGCTAAACAAAGACTAATCAATAAAATTTCAATGTCTGTTCATCAATTTGTCAAAAGATTTCGGTAGCAGACCACCAACAAACGTTGAACTACTGTTAATGAGACCTGGATTCTGTCTGCGGTGACTGGCAGAAAGTGATACAATAAAAAAATCATCAAAACCGTTTTAAAGAAACCGCATCGGTGTAAATCCTGGTGGAACTTAGAGCTTATTTCAGGTTATGAATAATGTTAAAAATCATTTCGCATGACTATGTTCAAATGTACCTGATTGTAAACAATTAATTTTCTCTAATTACGCCATTATGTTGGAATTATTTGTTATGGCTGTGAATAATGCATAATAATTCGTGTTACTAATTTTTGTAATTCTCTAAGCGAGCCGCGGTGCATAAAAAATATTACTAAATTGGATTTGTTTTTTTTTTCAACGAGCATGAAATAATTATGTTTCATAAATACTGTTATAAAAGATATATTTTTATTTACATCTATATTAACTTAAATGTGGATTTCACTAATACCATTATTAATTACTTTTAACAATTTAAAATACTATGTATTTCGCATTTAGAATTTCGCGAACTTTTTGATGAATGCAAAAACAAGGCAAAGGCATAGAGGCAAAAAAAATAACTTTGGAACTCTAGTAGAAACGTAGAAAATAGGGAAAGGATCATATGTTTAATTCCACGAAAAAACACCATTATAGGTTTAATTGGAAAAAAAATGTAAACATCAGCTTCAAACTCCGTCAAAACTAAAGTGCCTCATCTAACATAAAACCCTGGAAACGTGAAATTATATCCGAGCTTTGAAGAACGTACCGATGG